AGGTGCGCGCTACCACGCCCGGCTGATTTTTTGATTTATTGTAGAGATGAGGTCTCGCTGCCCAGGTGGGTCTCGAACCCGCGGGTTCATCAATTAAAACAAATGTATGATACTAATGCAAGATGACAACAGGAGAAAGGGGGAGGGGTATGAGGGGGTGGATGGAATATTCTGCTCTAAAAAAAGTCTATTAATTTTTTTTTAATTGAGTTAATCTTTCTTTCTTTTTTTTCTTGAGTTGGAGTCTCACTCTGTTGCCCAGGCTGGAGTGCAGTGGTACCATCATGGCGACCACGCCTCGACCTGCTGGGCTCAGGCAATCCTTCTGCCTCAGTCTTCTAAGTAGCTGGAACCACAGGCATGCACCACCACAACCGGCAAATTTTGGGTTTATTGTAGAGACAAGTTCTCACCTGTCGCCCAGGCTGGTCTCAAACCCCTGAGCGCAGGCAATCCTCTCACCTAGGCCTCCCAAAGTGCTGGGATTGCAGGCATTAGCTGCTGTGCCTGGCCTAGTTAATTTTTCAAAGTGACTCTTTTTAAATGTGAATTATAGTACCTGCCTTATAGAAATGTAATTTTTTTTTGAGTCGGAGTCTCACTCTGTCGCCCAGGCTGGAGTGCAGTGGCATGCTCACGGCCACTGCAGTCTTCACCTGCTGGACTCAGGCAATCCTTCCGCTTCACCTGGAACTACAGGCCATGGGCCACCATGCCCGGCTAATTTTTCTTGATTTATTGCCCAGGTTGGTCTCGAACCCCTGGTCTCAGGCAATCCTCTCACCTCAGCCTCCCAAAGTGCAGGAATATTAGGTGTGAGCCACTGCGCCTGGCTGAAATATAATTTTTAAGTGAGCCATGAGTCTCGCATAAAGTAAACACTCAAATGTCACCTATTATTATTAGCATTTACCATAACATTATTTTTCACTGAAACTCATCCATATGAGTGACATTATGAAATAGATTTTTATACTTAGAAAAATTTAATCGTCGAGTTAATATGTTCTTATAAAGACTTTATGTTGCTAATGGTTGCAAGGTATGCTTCATGACACATCTATTATTGTGTTATATTTAATTAAGCCCATGTCCTGATCTTGACTTTGCTTTGCCTTTTACCGCAGACTGTAAAATACATGAATTCCTAAGCACTATGGTTATTTAATCACTTACATAATATCCACCAGCACTGACCGTGACCCCTACAACCAGATAGTAAATCATATTTGATCCAGATGGTCCAGGGAATTTGCTAGATGACATCCGGCGGAGAGATGCTGGAAAGACAAATGTAAACACAGTCAGCTTCATCGCTTAAGCAAAACTATTGAAAATAATGGCATCTTTTAAAACATTTCAGTGAACATAGAATCTATTAACATCAAGTGGTTTTAGCTCGAGGGAATGTATTATTACAAAGCAGTAATAATTCCACTTGACATTCTGCCAGTGTGGTTTGGATAAGTCCTTCTGAAGCCTGTCATCTAAGTGCGTAGCATCATGCTTTCTGGAAGGGGTGCAAGTGTGAGTCAGGAGAAATGACAAAGTTCACAGCCACTGCAGTCTCAACCTTTGGGCTCAGGTGATCCTTCTGCCTCAGCCTTCCAAGTAGCTGGAACGACAGGCATGAGCCACCATGTCCGGATAATTTTTCTTTATTTTTGTAAAGATGAGGTCTCGCCAAGTTGGCCAGGCTGCTCTCGAACTCGTGAACTCAGACAATTCTCTTACCTCGACCTCCTAAAGTGCTGGGATTATAGGCATGAGCCCCTGAGCCCGGTCTGGCATTAACAATTTTAATAGCCAAACAAAATGCATATGAGCAAAAGAAATCCACTTGCTGTAGGCATGAGGGGGACCCAAAAGACGTGGAATTTATTTATACAAAATTGTGTATTTATTTTTATATGTTTAAACTTCAGTCACCTCCAAAGTACTCTTCGTGTGATGCAATACACCTATCTAGATGCCTTTTGCACTGCTCAAAACAGTTTTTGGACTCATCCATTGTGATGTCTTTGAGCACTTCTACCGTTTTTTGTTTCACCTCTTCCACATTGGCAAAATGTTTCCCTCTAAGGATTTTTTTCATCAGGGAAACACAAAAAAAGGCACTTGGCGAGATCGGATGAATAGGGGGAGGGTGGAGTGTGGGGGTCAGGTCGTTTTTTATCAGAAACTGCTGAACAGTCAGCGGGGTTTGGACAGGTTGTTCGTATATATCACCCATCATGAGATGAGCAAACATGTTGAAAGAATCTCCAAACGAAAAATTCACTGAAGCCAAATGCAGCCTCTACAACAACACTAGCTGGTACCCTGATGCCGATAGGTTCCTAGAACACTTACCTAGTGGGGGAAGGCTTTACTACAAGGGGCCTGCCCTCCAAAATATAATTCTGGGTTTTTTGGGGGGTCCCCTCATAATCCACTGTAGGATTGGGTGAAAATGATTATTTTTCCAAGAAGTGAATTAAATATGTTTGTATTTAAATTTTACTATGATTTGTGTTTATATGCTAAGTGAAACATTTATGCTGAAATTAAACTTATTTCTATAAATCTACAGTACAAACGTAGATACCGGAAGAAATCCCAATTTTTCTCATATAAAGCAAAGATGGGCAGAGAAAAACTTTTTAAGCCAAATGTTGCAACAAGGCTATATCTGAAATACAAGTACAATTCTGTATAAACTAACAGGAATAGATAAAAGTACTATATTATCGTATGTAAGCATATTTATTCTGTGATGCTAAAATTTCTGCATCCCATAACACTCTAAAGTTGAAATTTTTATGTAGACTCAAACCTCGAAGGAGCTTAAAGTTCCTATAGCTCAAATTCTTGATTCTAAAGATAAAAACGCTGCCGAGTGCCTGGTGTGCACCCGCAATGCCAGCTACTTGGGAGGTTGCGGCGGGAGGATTGCTTCAGCCCAGGAGTTCGAGACCAGCCTGGGCAATATAGCGAGACCTCATCTCAAAATAAATAAATACAGAGAAGTAGAGACATGTATGCATTCATTCAACAAATACACTTGAACGCCTCCTACGTGTTTGGCATTTTTAGAAGCATTAAGGCTACCACAATAAATAAGACAGACAAGGTCCGTAGCTTCAAGCAGCTCACAGACTAGAAGGAGGGGATGGATATAAAAATAATTTTGATACGGTGTGACAAATGTCTGGATCGATGTTGAGCAGAGGAAACAACAAAGCTAGTTGCCTCGAAGTAGCTGTCAACAGTTGAAGAGACCTGAGTTTTGAAGGGTTTACCAGATAAACAAGAGAAGGAGAAAAGCAGCTGGAGGCGGGAAGCATACGTGCGTGGAACCCCGAGAGCAGAGTGACCCCGAAATGGTGAGGGCTGGGCTGAATACCTTTGATCTCAAATGCTTGGGAGCAGAAGTGCTTGGGATTTCAGATTTTTTTCTTTTTTGGATCTTAGATTGTGTGTGTAAACATAATGAGCTATCTTAGGGATGGATCCCGCCTCTAAACAGGAAATTTACGTATGTTTCACATACACCTACACATAGCCTGAAGGTAACTTTTGCACAACGCTTCTAGTAATTTTGGGCATGAAGCAAAGAGTGTGTCAAATACTTGTGTGTGGCGGTTTTCATTTGTGGCGTCAGGTCAGTGCTCAAAGAGTTTCCAATTTTGGAGCATTTGGGATTTCAGATTTTTGGATTAGGGATATTCAATCTGCAATTGGATGGGCCTGAGATAAAGATCATGGGTGCAGTGACAGGTGGGAGATTGGATTTGCCCGGGGCAAATCTAAACATATTTGCACTGGCTTTCCTTCGCAGTAGCAAAACCACAACGATTTCCTGTTTATGATCTTAGTTGGGATATAAATGGCCATTCCTTGGAAAAAAATATTCTTCCTTTCAAATGTGCTCAAGAGACTATGATAAAAGGTTATGGCTTTGTCTTGTGGTGGGACTTTTGTTGGCTTAAAAATACATCCGTGAGCCTAGGCAACATAGTGAGACCTTGTCTCTACAAAAAAAAAAAAAATTTAAAAATGAGCCAGGCATGGTGGCACACATGGTAGTCCCAGCTACTCGGGAGGCTGAGGTGGGAGGATCACCTAAGCCCAGGTGGTGGAGGCTTCAGTGGGCCATGATCATGCCTGGGTGAGAGTGAGACCCCCAGCTCAAAAAACAAAATCCAAACTATCTATGATCAAATCCGGAAAATTTATCCTGCACATTTCTCAAACAGACAAAAATATCAAAAATAGGAAGAAACAGAAAATTATCAGATATTTAAGCAGATGTAAACACAAATACAATTATGGCCAAATTACTTAAAATAGCAATGAGATGGGAACTATTCGATAAACGTTAATTCGACAAATTTTAGCACATAACGTTTGCAGGCTGCTTACCTGAGAAAACATTTACCACGTATTAAGCGGCAAATCAGCCAACTACTCTATGGGACTACCCCAGATTTTCGAAACAATGCGCATAAGGAGAAAATCAACGAGGAAAAAAAAGTCCGGAAAGGTAAATATACTAAAATGTAAACAGTGGCGCTCACGGAGTGGGAGGATTATAGGTGGGTTCTATTTTCTGTCTGACCTCTCTAGTTGTTTTTCCCCCCCATGACCTCTCCTAGACCTGCCGAGTTTATTCATGAAAGAGTTACAATGTTAAAAGCAAGAAGGCGCGCTCGAACTTTGAGGCGACGCTGAAACAATGTGCTTTCTCATCAAAGGCGCCGGCGCCCACCCAAGGTTCGGCAACGTCCACGACCCAAGGCAAAGCTGCTTGCCACCAACAGTCCTTCAGAGACCCGAATCGCGGCCCCCCCAGGGCCGTGAGGCGGACATCCGCGGAAGACCCCTCCCTGGACGACCCCGCCGCCAAGCGCGGAGGGACGGTTTTTCGGCCGCTGCTCTTCTGCCCCCAGCCGGGACCACCTTCCGCGAGGCGCGGGGTCCGCGCGCGAGGCCGGGCCGCTGGCCC